TCCCACCAATCCCACGTCTCTATTCCTGGTGGCCGCCGGCCAGCGACTACAGGTGGAGACTGTTGTTGTGCCGCTCGAAGAACAGAGCGCTCTTTATTCATCTGTTCCTCTCTCTCTACATCTAACATACAGAATGAAACTGTCCACTGTTCATGAGAACTCAAAGCCTCCTTCATTCCCTTGCAGAATTACAAGCACAGAATGGACATGCATTATTGCAACATGTGTATGATGGCATTGCACGCTTATAAAGTGTAGTTTGTCTATTAGGAATACGATGCTTAATGCATACAAATAATTAACCCCCTGTGGTGCAAATCAAGTTTTTAATGTTGTATATATATTTTAATATGCTTTAAGGCAAAGTCATCAGTCAACAGCAGCATCGTAGAGCATTTTCTCCTTAAAACTACTAAAGCCTGATTGAAAATGGGGCTTTTCTCCGCTGAGTTTCTATGATGTTTGATGCTGATGTTTAGAAGGACGCTGTGACTCTGAGATGGGGAACGGGAACATATGTGTGTGACATTAGCAACACACACATTATTAGCTGTTTGATAACGTAGTCGAGACAAAGGCTAATCATATCAATGTGTTCGACACTGTATAAAACACATCATGATTCATGATCTTATAGACAATCCTGTATAATTCACTCTTCCTCTTCTTCTTCAATCAGTGTCTGGTTCAAACATGTTTAACTGAATTAAACCAATATCTCCACTTGCAATTGACTGTTCGCAAAGACCCGCCCCCTTTAGTTACTGTTGCTATGTCCAACAAGCCACGCCTCTCTCACGCCACATGTTCTCACGCAGTGAAAAATACATCGCGGAGCAGAGAGGACACTGACCACACACTGACAGACAGGACACACCAGCTTACTTTTGATATGAAACGGTCTCAACTTTCAAATTTGGTCATTTTTTTAAAAGAAATTTAAACAATAAAAACTGTTTTGTGGCTCTTTATTGTGTCTGAACCGCTCTTAAAGCGGCTCGTGAACCGATCATCTCTTCCTTCTAGTTAATTTATAGCATCAAATAAACATGAATGAACATCAGAAGGAATGTTGTTTTAACCACGGAAAGACGTCAGTACACACCGTTTCTCAAGTTCAAATCCTCCAATGTTAATCTATTAACTCCTGATGGCTGTCGGACAAAAATTGCGGATTCGGCGGATGGCGGATTATGATTGGTCAGATCGCCTGTCAATCAAACTCCCTGCAAAGGGTCGATTGTGTCGCGTTTACTACAGTTACGCGAGTGGATCGGGTCAGAGCCATAGAGAGAGAGAGTTGCGACACTCCCATAGACCGCCATAGGAACTTTGGAATGCGGAAGTAACGCGTGTCGTGGAGCGGCCAATAGTTCCAAACACTGATAGTTTCTCCATTGAACCCCATTCATTTTCAGTGCTTCAGAAGTACGTTCGCTGGTAAATTAATGAAATTACTGTATTTTTTTACTTTTACACACATTCGCCGACCTCTCGTGAATCTAGTCTGTAGTTATATTTAATGTAGCCAGTTTTAGTAAATGTTTATTGGAAGATAATAGGTTAATTGCAGCGATAGCTTACGTGACCAACACTTCACTAACGTTAGCTAACTTACGGTAACTGATGTATATAATATATAATATTTTTTTAAATAATATTTTATATGTGTATATATATATTTATAAAACGGTTAGTTCCAATCCTTGATTCTGATTGGTCAATAGCTGTGCTTTATTCACGATAAAACACGGCTATGACCGCTTCACCCAACGGTTCTATGTATCACTACACAACACCCCTAGCAACCACTCTTAGCAACTTAAACAGATGTTTCATCTCATTGATATTGTTCATTTAAAGCTAGAGCAGAGCATTGTGAGAGATCGAGTAAGCGAGTGTACCTGCATTTACAGTAGACGTAGCATTTTCCTTCAGGTCAGTCCTATATTCATAATAAAAAAATGCGTTTGAATGTCCGCTGCATATTTTGTCCTTTTAACAGTCATGGGGTTTTCCGTGCATAACGTTAGTCATCTGTCAGTTGCGTCTGTCTTCTCCGTGATCACAAGTTCGAGTCCTTTCAAAAGCCTTCTCTACAGACTCACTCACTCACTCACTCATAAAGACAGTCTTTGCCGCCATCTATTGGCGAAATAATATATGTAACTTCTGTTGCTGTTCACGTTCCGGGACTATTTTTTCCAGCGGAAGGCAGGCTTTTAGTGATTTTACTTCATGAAAGTTGCATAGATACATATTTTTCGCCTTTAATATTTTTATTGTGTGGCAACCGTTTTATAAAAGCAATAAGGTACTCGAGGCAAGTGCTGTATCGTGAATAAGTAACGGCTGAAGGGGTTGCAGGCACTCCGCTTCGCGTCGTGCCTAACAACGCCCTACAGCCGTTACTTATTCACGATACAGCACAGCCTCTCGTACCTTATTGCTTACATATATATATATATATATATATATATATATATATATATATAACCTATATATAATATTATATACACACACACACAATTCATTTATTTAAATGGGTTAGGGAGGGTTATGCATGTGCTTATATGTATTTAGGAACATAGTTAATTCACTCATTAACTATCTCTCCGGTTTAATTTTATGAAGAATATTTTTCGGTTGAATATTTACCGAACATTGCTGTATAGTCGTTGCTTTCTACGTTATGGGAGCAGTCTATTTCCCTCCTAAATCATTAATTTGTACATGCACAGCGTAATTATTCATATTTTGTGTTGGTTGGAGTTCTGAACGGCCCGCAGACCTCTTTGCGTGATCACGAAGGTAGGCTAATGGCTGAATCGGAATTTATAAGCAAGATCACGGGAATCAATAGCCTAATACAGCCCAGTTGTGCTAAAATAAATATCACGAGACGTCCATCATCAGATGAATGACATGGAAAAGTTAAGTTAGAGCCGCTAAAGCCAGTGCTACTACCCATGCGAACATGAACACTAAGCTTTTCCCTCCAAAAAAATAGCCTAAAACTTATCTAAGTTGTCACCCTGCCTCTCCAAATGCAAAACTGACATTAACAAAATGCAATAACAGCTTAAAAAGTACTTGGGTGTGTGTTTTATTTTATATTTACCGTTTAATAATCCAATCGCTGCTGTCTGTCCATAGAAGAACATGACAGCCCGCGTATGTTTTGGAACTATTGGGGCTTACATGAACCACGTGACAGCCGTCGCGGCGACATCAAAGCGTGTCGCAACTCTTTCTCTCTATGGCTCTCTCTAGCCGCTGTGACGAGTGAGTGGAGGCGGGGACTAATTTGCATATTCATGAAGCAATGGTGTCGAGTTACATTCAAGCTATTTTAAGGCATGAAGAAACAATTTTCACAGAAAAAAAAAAACGTTAAAATGTCTCAAGATGAGTTTTAAGGGATACAATTATTGACTGCATGGGAACTTTAACAAAAAAATTAAGTTATATAACAAAAAAAAAAATCTTTCTGCTAAATGCATAAAATCGTTACAATTTCAGTTTGGTGTTGCTCGCTTCAAATGATTATTTCCTTGATTAATGATTAATGAGCTTCGAATGAAAGTGGAGCTGTTTGAATGAACCAAAGCATCGCACTGGAACAAACAGTGTTTTGTCTGACGGCTCCTGGGGGATCGGATCGGATCGGCTCCTTTGAGTCTCGTGGCGATGGACTGGTCAGGAAAGTCTGTAATTGCAATAGTCGCGTCACATGACAAACCCCTCGGGCTTGTCTAACGAGGGTTCGGCTGTGTGCTTGAGGGCGAGTTTATTTGCCGTGTAGGAGAGCATGTATTTATAGCAGGAGCTTCTTCTGCAGTGCAGAGCGTCGCATTAACATTTGATCAGGGAGCAGGCAAGGGCACACGTTTGAGGAAATAAGCCTGCGTTTTGGAAAATTCCCTGCTCCACTTCTCTCCTCGGGTATTAGAGTGTTTGTGAGGGCAAAATAGAGTTTCTGACTCTTCCTCTCTCTCAATCCATCCCTTCTCCCCCTCCTTTAATCTTTAATTAAAGTCAAACAGCCAGTTCTTAATCCCAACTTACAGCAAATGCCCCACACTTACTAAAGCTGCAACACATCAGAGAAAAAAACCCTGATTGACAACCAGGAAATAGAAGCATTTAAAGCAGAGAAGTGCAATTATGAATTTTAAATTCTCTCACCACCGCTTTCTGGAAAGTCATTGCAGCCGCCAAATAAGGAAAATTGACCTATTTTGGGGTCTCTTAAAAAAAAAAAATCACATTTTACCCCATAATCAAAAGGAAAAATTCATAAATTATATTGGTACTTATCATATACAGACTTAAGACATTTCAAATATGCACACTTTCCTCACAAATTCTTATTTTAATCAGAAAAATAACCTGTAATGCAGTTATGAGAATGAAATTTGGATTGAAAAAGTTTATCAGATCTTAATGTTTGCAACAATAATAGCCATTGCTTTTTTTTCCCTTTGAAATACAATTGAAATATAATCAGTTATATTTTGTTGTTGTTGTAAGAAATTAATACTTTGATTCAGCAAGGACACATTAAAGTGATCAAAAGTGACAGTAAAGACTTAAACATTGTTACAAAAAAAACATATTTTCCTTTGAAGTTTCTATTAATCAAAGAAAAAAATATTTTTAAAAGTTTATTATAAAAATGTTAAGCAGCGCAACTGTTTTCAACACTGATAATAATAATCATAAATGTTTCTTGAGCATCAGATCATCATATTAGAGTGATTTCTGAAGGATCATGTGACTCTGAAGACTGGAGTAATGATGCTTTGATCACAGGAATAAATTACACTTTGCTGTACATTCAAATAGAAAACAGATGATTTACATTGTAATAATATTTCACAGTTCTTACTGTATTTCGGATTAAATAAATGCAGCTCTTCAAAAACATCTTACCAACTTTGGTGTCACTGTTGTTCAATGGTTGATCCACTTTAATTTGATTTCCGCTCCACTTTCAGTCTGAACACGCCGCCTGGAACCAAAGTGAAGCTCCTGGGGGTCGTTCAGGTTAAGAACGGCATCCTGCTATTGGACGATTCCAAAATCGACGTTCTCGGAGGCGAGGTGGATCACATGATTGACAAGTGGGAGTTTCAGAGGGTGAGAGACATGTTTTACATTTACATTTATGCATTTGGCAGACTTCATACGTTTCAAGGTACACCGTTACATTCTCATCAGCTCTTGCTCTCCCTGGGAATCGAACCCATGACCTTGGCGTTGCAAGCGTCGACGCTCTACTCTTTGAGCTCCAGGAAAATCGATAGTTTTCTCTTTTATTATGAATGTATTCTGGTAATATGATGCAGTTTAATGGAGACATTTTCTTTCTTCTTGCTTCTATTAAATAAAGGTTCACTCTACTGTGTGTAACAATCATGCTAATTTCATTTGAAATATGTCTGAGTTTATCAATTTCACCCGTCCTTTTAATAATATAATAATGTTTATTTTTTATAATGCCTTTCAAGAACACAAGGTCGCTTCACAAAATAATACAAACAGTTGACAGACAAAGAGACAAGCAATCTGCTTATTATAACAATAAACAAGCAGAAAAGCAGATGGAGACAACCAAATAATTACAAATAATTATTATTACGATTAAGTAAACATGTAACAAAAATTAAAAAGTGGAAGACAGAGAAATGGAGAGGTAAATAATGATTTACTGAGCATAGATTTGAGATTTGAAGGTCTGGAGGTTGAGATGTCTTTTAAATGACATCAGCACATGGAGCTCAGCCAATCACAACAGAGGAAATTTACATATAGGATTCTTAAATGCACTATAGCACAAACTGTTGTTTTTTTCAGAAATTTCAAAGAGTGTGTGTAAAATCATGAAACTAAATCACAAACTGAATGTTTTAAGTGCAAGAAACCTTGACTAACATTTTAAGTGGGCTCTAGGGAGAAAAGAAGAGATGCAAAAGTGTAAAATATTGAAAAATGAAAATATGCCCTCTTTAAAGGTTGTATTCATTAAAAGTTAAGAAAGCGAAGCCGCGGTGTCAAGCAGAAACAGCAGTGCCTGTGGCCATCTGTTAATATCATGTTTCAGCTCAGTGATGGATGACACACTGGCAACAGATGATTTATTTTAATTATCAATCAAAGCCAGAAAGCATAAGGCACATTTCTTTATTCACCTTGATGGGTAAATGACTTCAGTCCAAAGATTTTTCTCCCCTCTCTGGATTCACTTTATTCACATACAGTCAAAACACACCTGGTATCATTTTTGATATGTTTTCACTAGTGTGTGCAGGACACTATAGTTCATTTATGTAAGTGAGGAGAGCAAAATAAAGTAAACTATGACATATTATACCCAAATATTCTTCATACAGTGACTACCAGTAACAATATGTGACCAAAAATGATTCCTCCACTTTGAGCTGATCATGTTCTGCTGAAGTGTGTTTTCTGTAATTGCTAATGCTCTTTTTACACACACACTGAACAACATGAAGCATTGCTTGGTCACTGGTTGAGCTAAACTGGTATTATCTAATTGTGTAGTTAAATTTAACAGCTGACAGATATTCAACATAATTCATGTGTGAGAGTCTAACAGAAGGACGGACAAAACCAGTCAAATATTGTCATATTTCATCACCATTTTCTAAACTACAGCGAATAAACTGTGATAATGTGAGAAATATTGAAGGTGTCTGAATAAATGTGTGTTTGACTCTATCTAATGAAACCTTCAACCTTTTCTTCTGTAAAGAGCCTGGCCAAGCACAACCGCAGAAACATCGGTGCCGAAGGTGGACCTCCTCCGTTCGTTCCCTTCGGACAGGTCAGGACTCTTTACATCAGTTGATTTGATTCCCCGGGAGATTAGTGTTGTATAATCCGCTGTGATCTGTGTGTAGAAATGTGCTCATAAGGAGCAGGTGGACAGCAGAGCCCTGGATCAGAGGAAGACCCTTCAAAGCACAAACGCTGTCAAATCTGCGGACGACAACGACGAGTTTGAGAAACAAAGAACCGCTGCTATCGCTGAGGTCGCCAAGAGCAAAGAGGTGCGCTGCCGTTCATAACCATTATTACGAGATGTGTTTAAAGTCCCTGTAAAGGCAATTTCAAAAAAAAATTCTAAACACATTATAAATGTTAGAAATGTATTGCTAAAACATATTACAAAGACTGTGAACTGTGAAGTACTGAATTGTGGAGTTAGACCGTTAAACAGTTTTTCACCATTGCTATTTTCCGGATTTTCTGGGCGGGGCTAAAACAGGGCTCGATGACGCACTGGAGCCCTTGAGCTCCTGGACACGCCCCTACTTGATGACGCACTAAAGCCGCTGAGGCTGGCCGTTCCTAACAGTATTATAGAGCACACATACTGACATACACATCAGTGTGCCGCTCAATCGCGAGTTACTGTCAGTACTATTATTAGTAACACAGCCTACAGATTGCTAGCTACTAGCTATGCCTTCGTCACGGAAATGCGTACTACCTGGATGCGATCACCGGATCACGTACAAAACAGATCGGTGTCCTTGTTTAAATTTCCGAAAAACGATTACATCAAGAAGAAGTGGATTAATTTTGTGAAGAGCCACCTTGATGGAGAGCTGAGGATCACCGCCAAAACCCGCCTCTGTAAGTAATCATTTTACACGGGATAGTTTTATAAACTTTCGTCGGAGACAACTGGGATTCACTGATAATCCGCTGTTACTGGTGAATGGGGCCGAACCGACTATCTCCCGCCTCAGCCTTCATCCTCCCGTCGCGCGGACAACTGGTGCCATTCGGCAGTGCGTGCCCACCGTGCGAGCATCCATTCCGGCTGTAGAGTTGAGTGTGGCGAGTCGACGACGGCAGCTTTCCCGCGAGTGGGCGTGGTTTCAGCGCAGCCAGTGGACACGCCCCCAGCGTTTGAGAGCAGAGATTACTGCTCATTTTTTCAAGATTTTGATAGCTTATTTTATGTACTTGCTGGCTTTTTTTATCATTCAAATTTGGCTGGGTGACTAATAACACATTTTTCTGTGGTGTGACAAACTCAAAACACATACTTAATTTTGACTTTACAGGGACTTTAAGACTATTAACAATAGTAGTGAACATCTCCGGTCAATTGTTTGGAATGATTACGATTTGAAAGAGTCTCTTCTGCTCAGCAAGGCTGCATTTATTTGATAAAAAATACAGTAAAACAGGGAAATATTATTGCAGTGTAAATCAGCTGTTTTCTATGTGAATATACTGTAAAGTGTAATTTATTCCTGTGATCAAAGCTGAATTTTCAGCATCATTACTCCAGTGTTCAGAGTCACATGATCCTTCAGAAAATCACTCTAATATGATGATTTTGCTAGATTTGCAAAAGTAAAAAAAAAAAAAAAAATGCTTTTATTCCACAAGGATGCATTAATTTGATCAAAAGTGACATTTAAATACATTTATAACGTTGGAAAAGATTTTATTTCAAATAAATGCTGTTCTTTTGAACTTTCTATACATCAAAGATTCCTGAAAAAAAATGTAAGCAGCAAAATAATAATGAGAACCAATTTTTAATGACAATAACTGAGCAGCGCATCATCATATTAGAGTGATTTCTGAAGGGTCATGTGACACTGAAGACATGAAGACAATTCAGCTTTGATCACAGGAATAAATTACACTTTACTATATATTCACATAGAAAACAGCTATTTTAAATCGTAATAATATTTCACTGTTTTACTGTATTTTTAATCAAATAAATGCAGCCCTGTTGAGCAGAAGACTCTTCCAAAAACATTTAAAATCTCTTATTATTCTCTCTATTATTCTAAACCGTTGAAGTGTAGTGTACACATAACCCAGATTTCAGCATTTTACAGAATACACTCTTTCACAAAGATATTGACATTTCAATTCAAAATAAATATCGTTTTCATCCCCTGCAACAAAACAGCACCTTTTGATAATGAAATATTGATGCATTAAAGCATTATATAATTGAATTTGTTCATTCTCATGACTGTATCCTCAGGCCATGGGTGAACTTAATATTCTCCGATATTTCATTAAGAATTGTTTGATTTCGAGTATGTAATTATGAATGTATCGTGATAAGTGAATGATTGAACACTTTGCCTCTGCAGGACCTGGACTGTGTTTCAAAACCCAGCTTGATTTAAACTTAAAAACACACTCGTGGAGTCCAGAATTGTTGTTTTTTGTGCTAAAGTTGTGTGTGTTAATGGAAGAAATCTGATGTTCTTGTGCTGGAGTTGCATCAGTGTTTTGTTATTTTTCATAGTGCTCTTGATTTCCTTCTAGACGCGTACGTTTGGCGGTGGAGGCAATGCCGGAGGAAACCTTGCCAATCCAGGATCCTCCTACAGGAGTCGAGACTCCTATCAAAGAAGAAGAGAGGAGAGAGAGAAGCCCTGGACGGAGAACAAGTCAGAAGGAGTTTACAGAGATTTGGTAAGATGCAAAGATCTTCATAAAAATAAATGGTGTCCTGTCAGCAGTTTTAAAGTTGAGATGATCAGTAAAAAGTGAAGGTCCAAATAGACTGAACACTCACTATTATTTAAGCCATTGGTTCTTGCAAGTATCATAAAATGTAAAAATGTGTTGTTGCACAGATAAGTAAGCGTCATCTGGGAATCTGAACAGAGATTTTATTGATGTTTTTCTCTTCTGCTGCATTTATTAATGATCAAAAATACAGTAAAAATTCTGAATTCTGTTTTCTATGTGAATATATAGTAAAGTGTAATTTATTCCTATGATCAAAGCTGGATTTTCAGCATCATTACTCCAGTCTTCAGTGTCACATGACCCTTCAGAAATCACTCTAATATGATGATCTGATGCTTTTCTGATTATTATCAATGTTGTAAACAGTTGTGCTGCTTCATATTTTTGGAAAAACTGATACATTTTGGTAACCCGTTACCATAAGGTTTCATTAGTTAACATCAACTAACAATGAACAAGACTTCTACAGCATTTATTCATCATAATTCATGTTAAGTTCAACATTTACTAATACATCAAACGTTGTATTTGTTAACATTAATGCACCGTGAACTAACAGCTGTATTTTTATTAACAAACATTAACAAGGATTAATAAATACTGTAACAAATGCATTGCTCATAGTTATATCATGTTAGTTAATACTTTAAATTAAACCTTATTGTAAATTGTCACTTTTGATTGATTTAATGTGTTCTTGCTGAATACTGAATAAAACTATTAATTTCTTTAAAAAAATGACATGAAGGTTTTGCTAATAGATTTTCTACTGTGTTTCTTAAATAACAATCTGGAAAAACATCTCAAGTGCCCAAAAATTGTGTGATGGGCTTTTATTTATAATTAAATGCCATTATTTTCTTCTAATGCCAGTAGAGTAGCAAGGAAATGCCTTCTCTGAATAAAAGATCAGTCGATGTGACCTTGTCTTTTCTGGTTTATTTTTGCACTCCAGAAGTGCTCTGCATGTTTTCTACATGTTCTCTTGTCCCTGCTTGATGGATTTTAATGCAACGCTCGATGACCCTCGAGTTCATGATTTCATGATTTGCTGCTGTCTGTTCAAGGTTGATGAGCGAGCTTTGAGGGACATCATGGAGATGGGCTTCAACCGTGAGGCGGCCAGAGAAGCCTTGCTGGATCACAACAATAACCTGGAGACGGCCCTCAACTTCCTCCTCACCGGAACAAACCAGCCCAAAGCGGCCCAGACCGAGCAGAGCCGCCCGCCTCCACGAGGTAAAGCCTTCGGGCGCCGAGGAAAGATCAGAAACCTTCAGATAGTTGCGAGCAGGGCTTGACATTAACACCCGCCAACCCGGGGGTATTTCAGCGGTGGCGTGTAACGCAGTTAAATTTCGGGTTGAATTTGATATAATATCAGTCCTTCCAGAAAAACGAGTTTTTTTGTGATTGTTGCGGGCAAAAACCCTTGATTATGCGGCCCGTTTTCATAAAAAATGCGATGGAATATGCGGGATTTTTATGCGATGAAATTGCGGGAACTTGCAAGAACTGCGTTTTGATGAAAAAGAGAAAGAAAAGTGATTCCCCAACACCCTGTTCTCACTAGGCTCCTACCTTAATGTAAAGAGCTATTTCTTATGACTTCTTATGATAAGCAAGCATATACATCACAGAAAGTGCTGGAATATTTCAGTTCTCATCTTGTTTTATTTCAGACCTTAATAAACACATCAAACTTACAAAACACTGATGAGTCAAACAAGTTCTGTAGTGTGTTCCTGTTTTACAGCTTTTCGATGATGTTCATGTCGCGTAATTACATCACTTCATAACGTTCCCATGGCAACCGGGGGAAACGGCGGCTCTTGTGTGAAGCAAACGCAACATTTTTCAACTTTCTGCTCAGATATATGTGACTTTTTTTTTTTTGCAACGAAAATGCGAGGATTATGAAATCATGCAAGCCCTGCATATTTTGCACAGAAATCGGCAATTTATGCGGCGAAAGTGCGGCGTATTCGAAAAAATGCCCCCCGTATAAATATGCAGACTTTGGCTGATTATGCACTGAATCATGCGATCACATGATCGTGTTTTTCTGGAGGGACTGTAATATACATTTTTCAATTGTAGTCTTTTAAAAAGGCATCTGAAATAATAAAACAAGTGCAATCTAGTGTTGGCAGTAATATTGATTTTTCGATGCATATTGATACTGAAAGATCTGAAACTCTTCCGCAGAATAGATACAAAAGACACCAGCTCTCGCTCTCTAATCTCTCCGACAGCGAGTCAACACACCAACCCTTTACTCACTCGCTTAATTTGCTCCGGATGAATATTGTTGGTGGTTCAGGGCTTGAATTCTGGCGCGTATTGACCCAAAGTGCGCGCACATAAAGTATATTGGCTATATAAAAGAGCATAATGGGTCCGTGCGTCAGGTCTTAAAGTGACAGTAGCCTAATATACCGGCTGCCAAATTATGAGATGCTATTAAAAATATCTATTTGGTAGTTATTCCCCTATGGTAACGGTGTCCAAATTGTGGCCTACATTCTGTTATAGACATACCTGTCAACACTCCTGTTTTTCCCAGGTTTCTCCCGTTTTTTAGCCCTATCTCCCGGACCCCTCCCAGTTTGTTATTTCTGCCGGGAAACTCCTATAATTTGCATGGCCCAAACTCTTTTATGAATAATCGGAACAATATGTTTGTCTAATGTTGACCATTTCACAGATCTTTTATTAAATGCATTATATTCACACAATCCACACACCATATACAATTTCAACTCGTTTGTCATCTCAACCTGGCAACCTATAACTCAGCTGCGCAGTCGCGGAAAGCTTAACCCGAAAGCGAGCACCACACCACGTTTAGGGTGAACGTTTTCTTTGTTGCGTAGGCACTTTTTCCCTGTGTATTCATGTTCACTCTGCAATAAAAACAAAATCAAATGCAATAAAACCCATTGATAAACACAATCGGCCAGTTGCCAATCGTGTGTTTAGAGGAGAAAAACGGCAGGATTTTGTTTCATTTTGGCCGATCTCTGTTCCGGACTTTGCACACAAACTGCATTGCAATTATTTTCCAAAATGTAATTTTGTGTGGAAATATTATGAAACAGGACGTTAATCGCTAGGAGTGTGCGATATTGACAAAAATCTGGTATTTAGATGCAATTACACAGATTTAATGCAGCTCAGAGGGACATGAATGCATTTAACCTGCAGTTACAAATGCATAAATAATGTTTTGATGTTTTAAACATAAAAAGTTGAATATTGATATCAGAAATGATAAAAATAAAATAAAATAAAACATTAGTTGGTGGCAGCAGCAAGTCAGTGTTATTGAGAGTCATTGAATCATTCATTCAACCAGTTCATTCATTCACCATGTGTTGATCAGAGATGCAAAAAATCCCTCTTGTTTTGTTTGGAACTATTTTTGTTGGCGAAATAGAGCAAAAACAGGCAATAATGTCTAAAAATGTAAGTCATGACTTAATATTAACTTCTTGTTTATTGAACTGTTGTATAAAATCAATATCACATTTGTTCTCATGCTGATATTTACAAAGTGCAAACTGCACTCTTCATGTGATATTGATTAACTATGTTAAATTATATAAATATTAAAGACATACAGAGGTATTTTTGCCCCTTATCTTGAATATGTAGGGCATTATAAATGCATTTAATAGAGTAAATCACGCAGGGAAAGTCTAACATACCAGACTACTTCACATTGTGCACTCTCTATGTGAGGAATATATTCGATAATGACAGATTGCACATCGTTAAAACAACGATCACAATATTATCGTAGACGATGTATATCGCACACCCATAGGACATCCTGAATACGAACGCAAAGGCAAAAGGAGAGCACAAAAAGTACTGTAACAGTCTCAGAAACTCATTAATAATTAATAATTTTATGCTTTATTTGATCTTTAAAAGGAAAGGGTCGTGGACGGGGACGTTCCAGAACGGATGAGGATGAGGAAGCAGGAGGAAGACCGTCTGGGCCCAGCACACTGTTTGACTTCCTAGAGTCTAAAATGGGGACATTCTCCATTGACGGTACATCGGATTTATTTTACCTTTATTATGTTTTTGTGGTGCTTTCATAGACTGTAAAAAAAATGTTCGTAGTGTGCGTGATGTCACCCTGAAGAGCATTTTTGAAGCCCAAAGTGGGCGGAGCCGGCCGTCGCCATCTTGGTCGCGCGTCACTCCCGGATAAACGAAAATGTGCAGCGAGGCGGATTAGCTGAGGTGACGTGACGCTAACACACAGCAGACAAACTGCTAGTAGTGACATCAGCGGCAATCCACCTGTCATTCAAGTGGCCACACCCTTAATTATGGAGAACTTTAAGGCTATTAAATATTTAAACAGATCAGTTATAAAAAAATTCGCCCCTCTCACAGTCGTCATGAAGGGCAAAATTAGCAATATAGACTAAAACCAGTTTTTGTACCAGGCTGTAAACATGTTTTTTTCTGCTGTAAAGTTGTGCATTTTAACATGCGGGTTTATGGGATTGAGTCTCTTCTGCAGCCGGCCTCTAGTGGCCAGTGGAGGAACTGCAGTTTAACTCACTTCAGTGTCGGATTCAAGAGAGAGACTAGAAGGTTGCCGCTTGGGTGCTTTACAATAAGGCCAATATTAGGGCTTCTTTAAATTATTGATATCTGAATTGGCTAATATCATGGCTTATTTTGTTCCTTTCCAATAGTAATAGTGTTTAGTATTGTTTATGTACTGTTAGGGTTCCTACGCAGTTTGGAAAAGTATGGAATTCGAGTCATTTCTAGGTCTGGATAAGTGGACAAAAAATGTGTTTTCAGACCCTATTCGGTTTTCTAAAATATAAAATCAGGTATTTTTAAAAATAAATGTATCATACAAGCAGAGTGTTTTCACAGCAAATGTTTAGTGATTATCAAACACGGCTGAATAAATTCTAGGCGTATTTTTATAATGCAAAACTGTCTTTATCAGAAGTCTTTTGAGCTTCACTTAAAATAATGTTTACAGCAACAGATAAAGGAGCAAACACTCATCTAAGTCAGACATCAAACCACATTTACATTCCTAAACTGATGTGTGTCACAGGTCAATATATGCGGCTTCTTCTTATCGTATATCACTGAGAAAACCAACGAGAAAATAAAAATATTTACAGATGCCTGTACTAGATAGCAAAGATAATGCTGTATGAACCATTTATTTTAAAAATGGTCTGAAAAATCTAGAGAGAGGTTTGGAAATTTGAGTCTGGAAAAAGTATGGCATTTTTAAATTGAAAATATGCAGATTATAGTATTTATTAATTTACTTTTACGGTTATATTGTTTAATTTTAGTTTTAATTTGTATCATTATGCCCCGGGCACCAATGGTGTGAGGACCCTATTGGAATTGCTCCGTTTATTTTTTTTAATTCAGTATTTTAAGTTTTTTTTTAATTATTTTTAATTATTACCTTTAATGTAATTGTATTTCATTATTCATTTTAGGCATTTCAACTTATTTTTTTTGGTTTTTTTTTATAATTTCTAAGTTTTTCATCTGATATATATATATATATATATATATATATATATATACGGTATATATATATATATATGTAATTTCAGCTTTTTCAATTTTTAACAGTCTTAGAAAACTCTTTTTCTGTGCCAACTTTCTAAAGTAGTTAACACTTCTATATCTCTGCATCGTTCCCATTTCACATAATTTCACTGATTTTCCAGCTTAAATCAGTATTTCAAGCATCCGAGTTAAAAGTGGGATAATGTAGTTAGCTTGACATTATTTCAAAACAAACCATTTCAGGCTTGATAAAAGACCCTGCTTGCTTTTGAAGTCGTGATCAGCCTGAGAGTTCATTGTGCTTTAATTACTGTAAATGATCGCTTGCTCTCAAACTAACGTATCGTTTGCTTCATTCCCACTGCATGTGCAATGGAAGAAGTCCTAATAATAGGAACATTGTATCAGGATTTTTAATCTCTTCTTATGTTGGAGTCCCGGTGGGCCGTCAAACAGATGGCCAGTCCCAAATGAAGGCGCTTCTATTAGTCAGCTTTAGATAAGTCTCAGCGGCTGGTAAGCTCTGCCTGACATATGGCTTTAGGAGAAAACAGACAGGGCTAATATGTGGAGAAACCATTTCTGCTCTTTCAGTGCCATTGTTTTAACATTCAGTGTGTGAATGACCTGAAACTCGCTGTATTCAGTGTGTGAATGACCTGAAACTCACTGCATTCAGTGTGTGAATGACCTGAAACTCACTGTATTCAGTGTGTGAATGACCTGAAACTCACTGTATTCAGTGTGTGAATGACCTGAAACTCACGGTATTCAGTGTGTGAATGACCTGAAACTCACTGTATTCAGTGTGTGAATGACCTGAAACTCACGGTATTCAGTGTGTGAATGACCTGAAACTCACTGTATTCAGTGTGTGAATGACCTGAAACTCACTGCATTCAGTGTGTGAATGACCTGAAACTCGCTGTATTCAGTGTGTGAATGACCTGAAACTCACTGTATTCAGTGTGTGAATGACCTGAAACTCACGGTATTCAGTGTGTGAATGACCTGAAACTCACTGCATTCAGTGTGTGAATGACCTGAAACTCACTGTATTCAATGTGTGAATGACCTGAAACTCACTGCATTCAGTGTGTGAATGACCTGAAACTCACTGCATTCAGTGTGTGAATGACCTGAAACTCACTGCATTCAGTGTGTGAATGACCTGAAACTCACTGTATTCAGTGTGTGAATGACCTGAAACTCACTGTATTCAGTGTGTGAATGATCTGAAACTCACTGCATTCAGTGTGTGAATGACCTGAAACTCGCTGTATTCAGTGTGTGAATGACCTGAAACTCACTGTATTCAGTGTGTGAATGACCTGAAACTCACGGTATTCAGTGTGTGAATGACCTGAAACTCACTGCATTCAGTGTGTGAATGACCTGAAACTCACTGTTTTCAATGTGTGAATGACCTGAAACTCACTGCATTCAGTGTGTGAATGACCTGAAACTCACTCCATTCAGTGTGTGAATGACCTGAAACTCACTGTATTCAGTGTGTGAATGACCTGAAACTCACTGTATTCAGTGTGTGAATGACCTGAAACTCACTGCATTCAGTGTGTGAATGACCTGAAACTCACTGTATTCAGTGTGTGAATGACCTGAAAGTCACTGTATTCAGTGTGTGAATGACCTGAAACTCACTGTATTCAGTGTGTGAATGACCTGAAACTCACTGTATTCAGTGTGTGAATGACCTGAAAGTCACGGTATTCCGTGTGTGAATGACCTGAAACTCACTGTATTCAGTGTGTGAATGACCTGAAACTCACTGCATTCAGTGTGTGAATGACCTGAAACTCACTGTATTCAGTGTGTGAATGACCTGAAACTCACTCCATTCAGTGTGTGAATGACCTGAAACTCACTGTATTCAGTGTGTGAATGACCTGAAACTCACTGTATTCAGTGTGTGAATGACCTGAAACTCACGGTATTCAGTGTGTGAATGACCTGAAACTCACTGTATTCAGTGTGTGAATGACCTGAAACTCACTGTATTCAGTGTGTGAATGACCTGAAACTCACTGTATTCAGTGTGTGAATGACCTGAAACTCACGGTATTCAGTGTGTGAAAGACCTGAAACTCACGGTATTCAGTGTGTGAATTACCTGAAACTCACTGTATTCAGTGTGTGAATGACCTGAAACTCACGGTATTCAGTGTGTGAATGACCTGAAACTCACTGTATTCAGTGTGTGAATGACCTGAAACTCACTGCATTCAGTGTGTGAATGACCTGAAAGTCACTGCATTCAGTGTGTGAATGACCTGAAACTCACTGTATTCAGTGTGTGAATGACCTGAAAGTCACTGCATTCAGTGTGTGAATGACCTGAAACTCACGGTATTCAGTGTGTGAAAGACCTGAAACTCACGGTATTCAGTGTGTGAATTACCTGAAACTCACTGTATTCAGTGTGTGAATGACCTGAAACTCACGGTATTCAGTGTGTGAATGACCTGAAACCCCCTGATCTGTAATAGGTCTGTAATTGGTTTGTAGCGTGAGTGGGTCCCACCCACTGATCTGTTATTGGTCTGTAGCGTGAGTGGGTCCCACCCACTGATCTGTTATTGGTCTGTAGCGTGAGTGGGTTCCACCCACTGATCTGTAATTGGTCTGTAGCGTGAGTGGGTCCCACCCACTGATCTGTAATAGGTCTGTAGCGTGAGTGGGTCCCACCCACTGATCTGTAATAGGTCTGTAGCGTGAGTGGGTCCCACCCACTGATCTGTAATAGGTCTGTAGCGTGAGTGGGTCCCACCCACTGATCTGTAATAGGTCTGTAGCGTGAGTGGGTCCCACCCACTGATCTGTTATTGGTCTGTAGCGTGAGTGGGTCCCACCCACTGATCTGTTATTGGTCTGTAGCGTGAGTGGGTCCCACCCACTGATCTGTTATTGGTCTGTAGCGTGAGTGGGTCCCACCCACTGATCTGTAATTGGTCTGTAGCGTGAGTGGGTCCCACCCACTGATCTGTAATTGGTCTGTAGCGTGAGTGGGTCCCACCCACTGATCTGTAATTGGTCTGTAGCGTGAGTGGGTCCCACCCACTGATCTGTAATTGGTCTGTAGCGTGAGTGGGTCCCACCCACTGATCTGTAATAGGTCTGTAGCGTGAGTGGGTCCCACCCCCTGATCTGTAATAGGTCTGTAGCGTGAGTGGGTCCCACCCACTGATCTGTAATAGGTCTGTAGCGTGAGTGGGTCCCAACCCCTTGATCTCTAATAGGTCAGTAGCGTGAGTGGGTCCCACCCCGTGATCTGTAATTGGTCTGTAGCGTGAGTGGGTCACACCCCCTGATCTGTAATAGGTCTGTAGCGTGAGTGGGTCCCACCCACTGATCTGTAATAGGTCTGTAGCGTGAGTGGGTCACACCCCCTGATCTGTAATTGGTCTGTAGCGTGAGTGGGTCCCACCCCCTGATCTGTAATAGGTCTATAGCGTGAGTGGGTCCCACCCCTTGATCTGTAATTGGTCTGTAGCGTGAGTGGGTCACACCCCCTGATCTGTAATAGGTCTGTAGCGTGAGTGGGTCCCACCCCCTGATCTGTAATAGGTCTGTAGCGTGAGTGGGTCCCACCCACTGATCTGTAATAGGTCTGTAGCGTGAGTGGGTCCCAACCCCTTGATCTCTAATAGGTCAGTAGCGTGAGTGGGTCCCACCCCCTGATCTGTAATTGGTCTGTAGCGTGAGTGGGTCACACCCCCTGATCTGTAATAGGTCTGTAGCGTGAGTGGGTCCCACCCCCTGATCTGTAATAGGTCTGTAGCGTGAGTGGGTCACACCCCCTGATCTGTAATAGGTCTGTAGCGTGAGTGGGTCCCACCCACTGATCTGTAATAGTTCTGTAGCGTGATATTTCCATGAAGAGACACTCTGGGTTTTGTGAAAGAACTCTTAGGTATTTCCTCTTATTATTTCTGACGCATGTCTCATCGCGGTGATTTAAATGTATGCAGTGGCACTCGTGCTGCAAGACACTACAGATATGCGAAACAACAGGCTATTCAGTGAGCTGGAGTTATCTTTGCAGGCTTTTCTTAGCAAATATGGAAATATGTTTTCTATTAATGCTCGGCCGATATTTGGCCTTTTTTAATTATCTTCATCGGCCGATAAGCTTTTCTGTTTGGCTAATGTGTTTTATTTTTCACTCTCACGTTAGTTTACTGTCTCGGTTTAACAGTTCTGTCTAATAAATGAATAAACGGTATACAAAGAAGTGTTTGCTGTCTGCTTTTCTATCATTAGTAAAAGAACTGCAAATGCTCATCTACTGTCAGCATTCAGCAAATAAGCATTTATATAATTTAAGCATTGATTAAGTTGGTTACAGTGTTTGTACAATGTGCTTAAAGTATTTTGAAGTATATGATGCAGCTTTCATTCTTCAGGTCAATCAGATATTCATGAAAAATAAATCATTTTTGAATAAAGAAAGCGATATCTTTGTCATAGTATCCTTTCAATTGTTAAAGTTACCGCAGTCATTACATTTGCTGTGCTTTATTTAGTTTATATTTATCTATCTATTTATCTTTTTTAGAGTCTGAAAGATAATAAAGATATTGTTTGATTAGTGAGATTGTAGTCCTTGAAAAAGTTCAAGTTGTGCTTTGAAAGTCCTGGAATTGAATTTATTTCCTTTTAATTAATACCCTTTAATTAATAGGATTACAGAATCACCCGTTGCCATCTAAAGTATAAATCAGTTTATTTTACAGTATTCATTATCAAATTCTTTTTCTAATTTAGTCAATGTTATGTCATGAATATAAATTTAATTTCAGGAATTATGCATGTGTTTTTACTATCTTTAAATGAAATGCTGTGAGATATATTATTCATCGGCGTCTGCCATAAAAAAATCAATATCGGTTGATCACAGATATTCTATTTCATTCATTGGCATAACATGTAGGACTGGTTGATCAATCAAAATACTGTAAAGCCAATATCGCAATATGACTGCAATTGAATTGAATAAATATATAATTTACACGTGATCCGCCGCTGTTGATGATGATGATCTCGATGATCTCGATTCACAGTAAATGCTGCTCCACATGATCTGCATCAGTTTGAGTCGCTTTAACATACATTTGCACATTAAAGCAACTCATTATTATCATAATTCTATAGACATATTGATGTATAATCACAATTTTGGGCAAATTGTGCAGCACAGCAAACGTGGATTTTTTTTTTTTTATTAAATTTTTAATGTCAATTATTATGTTCCTCCCAAATTGTGCCACAATTGACTTCCTGTTTTTTTTTTTTATAATTAACTCGCTAGAGTCAAAGAACCATCATTCACTACAAGACCACCCAGGAAAGATGACGTTCCCCACCACCGATCACCTCTCCAGAGACGCCGGCCCGTTCAAACACCCTCCTCGCAGTGAGGGACGGTCGCAGAGAAACGACAGGCCTCCACGCTTCCAGAGGGACGGAGACTTCCCTAAACCAACCCCAGCCTCTTCCACCTTCTCCCAGCCGCAGAAATGGAGGGATGGCGAGCGAACGGGAAGAGGAGGATCAGAGCGATGGAAGAACGACAGTCAAGATGCTAGAATTGCATTCTCCTCGACGGCGGGGAAGCCCAGGGAGACGCAAGGAAAGGAACACAGTGGGTCGAAGGCTTTCCAGCAGGAACCTCATAACGGTGGATGGAAAGAGCATGATGGGACAGGATGGCCTGAAAGGAGAAACCAATCAAATGGATCCACGGCACCCAAACCCTCAAACCCTGCTGTATCCGGTCCAGATCCTAAAGCCAGAAATGAGGCGAACAACAGAAGGAAAGGCAAGCCAGAAAGGCCAAACTCGGGCTACTTTGAGCGTTCCCAGGATGCAATGAAAAAAGACTTTTCGCAGGATGTGGGATCAGGCCAGTTCATTAAAGTGACTGGGGTTTCAAACACGCAGATCCCTAATGGCGATTTAGAGCTCAGACGGACCGGTCCAATCAAACCACAGTCTTCAGGCCCGCCTCAAAAGCAGACCCACACGCATAACTCCGCCCCCAGAAAGAGATCCGGGCCAATCAAAGGTCAGAGAGAGCCAGCGGACGCCAATAATTACGAAAACTGGAAAGCTGGTGACCAGTGTCTCGCGCTCTACTGGGAAGACAATAAGGTGATTATTTTTGTTTGTTGTTGCATTATTATTATTATTATTAGTGCTGGGCAACTATTAATTATAAGCAATTAATTCCAAAATAAAAGTTTGTTTACATAATATATATGTGTGTGTACTGTGTATAATTATTTTGTATATATAAATACACACATATGCATGGATATATTTAAGAAATATTTGCATGTATATATATTTATACATAATTTATATTATACATAAATATAAATATTTTATATTTAAAAAAAAATAATTCTTAAATGTATACATGCATATTAGTGGAGCGGCTAAGTGCTTATGTTTGGCAGAATCGTTCAGTTTATGATACAAGCGTGAAAATTGGCATGAGCAGTCTCCATGGGTCACTTGACACGAAAATTGTCAGAGCCACTTGAAATTTCGAGATACCGGCCATTTTTCAAGATGGCCGACACCTTAGTGGAGCAGTTAAGTGATATAGTGGTTTATTTGGTGATACAAGCATGGAAATTGGCATGAGCAGTCTCTGATGGTCACTAGACAATAAGCCACCCACAGCTACTTGAAATTTCAAGATGGCGGCCATTTTTCAAGATGGCCACCACCTTAGTGGAGCAATTTAGGCTTAAGAAATCATTTAGTTGGTGATACAAGCGTGAAAATTGGCATGAGCAGTCTCTATATTTTTATACACAGTACACACACATATATTATGTAAACAAACTTTTATTTTGGATGCGATTAATCGTTGCCCGGCACTAATTATCATACGCTTTTGTTGCATATTCCATTGTGTGTACTTGTGTAACACCTTGCATCTTCGTGGCAGTTTTACCGGGCGAGAATCGACGCTGTCCACCCTTCGGGCTCGACGGCTGTGGTCGTGTTCAGCGACTACGGAAACTGCGAAGAAGTTCTGCTTCACAATATCAAACCTCTGCACATGGATGTGTGGGTAAGCATCAGATCCCCTGAGATACTTTAAAGCCAAAGTAAACTTCGACCGCGGCGGTTTGCGCAGTCCACGTGACGTAACTTCCGTCATCGGGACGGTTCAGCCCACATGCAGCCCAATTTATGAGACCGCGTGCGTGTACAACAGCGCATGCGCACGGTGAATGACGAGACCGAAGCTCCACTAGGTGGCGATATGCACAGTTACGCAGTGATGTGCTGTGCATTAGGTGAAGAAGAGTGCATACAAAGCAGCATATCCTCCATTGTTTTGCTTCTTGTTCTTGTTATTTCACACTGTTAACTGACCCTAGTTTGAAAACCCCTGTATTAAAGCATTGTGATATTATGCTAATGTAAAACTCACTATTTATGTGAGTTTCAGAACCTTTTCCAAGTTTCATTTCAGTTTGTACGCTACCTTGGTAGACAGTTCCCTATGTAGGCAGCAAAAAATACACCAAGTTTTGGAACAGACCTTTTAAATGCTAAAATGTTCATATGCATTAAAGACACACGTACCAAATTCCCAAATTCAAATTTTGGCTGTGTTGTATTTATTTAAAGAGCAGTCTTGTCTTGTTTGCCATGACTGATGCACTAGACTTGCGTTTATTCGTAACATTAGTCACTCATGTCCTGGTAACTTCTTTACAGGATGACGAAGACATTTACTATGAGAATTCCCTTGAATTTCGAAGAGGAGGAGACGGACAACCTCGACGCTCTCGACCGACGCAACAATATTATCAACCGCCCCGTGCAAGAGACTGACACACACTCGCACGCAAATCTTTCCCTAGCAAGGCAACTCATTTGATTTGCTCATAACAAAACAAACAATTAGTGCTCTTGCTAAACCAACACACTTAGATCAGGACTAGGGCTGTTACTCTTCTGCTAATAGGCACTTCTAGCATTGTGTAGATTCTGTAGAACAGTATAAATGCAACATGATGTTCTCTCCCTATGCAGGTAATTATCATTATCATCTCGTTATCCACAAGTAAACAACCCTAATTGGGGGAGAAAAAAAAAGACATGTGGTTTGTAGTACCTTTTCAGAAGCATCAATATTAACAGCTATATAGGAAATGCTAATAAAGTGAATCTCAGAATATTTCATCCTAAAATAAAAAATTAGATTTTGCATTGTGAATTTTTTTTTGCATGGAAAATAAACCCTTTCAGTTCTTTTTACTGTTATAAAAAAGTAAAGTTTTTTTTTATTTATTATTATATAAGTGTCTTTAGTTTGACTAAAAATGACTAATTAGAATCAATGAAAACTCAACTCAAAAGTTAAACACGTTTCGGTGTGTGCATAACCTTCATGAAAATGTCACAATGCAAAAAAGTCTTAATGATCCTTCAATAGACTTCATTTTCTTTATGGAAAATGTATATAAAAAAAGATTCCCAGATTTTCGGGTGGAAGCTTGTTTCCGCTTTTTTCCCATCTCACAATTCTGGCTCTTTATCTCAGAATTGCGCGATATAAAGTCGCGATTGCGTGTTATAAAGTCAGAATTGTGAGATATCAACATGCTATTCTGAAAAAAATAAAAGAATAGAATTGGACTAGAATCTTTTTATCCTTAAAATTGGACTTTATATCTCGCAATTGCAAGTTAATATCTCAGATTTCTGAGAAATAATGTCAGAATTGCAAGATGTAAACTCACAATTGTGAGATAAAAAGTCTCAATTATCTTTTTAAATGTTTTATTCTGTGGCGGAAACGAGCTTCCATAGCAAATGTGACCTGAACTTGAGCTGTCGTGAGATTCACTCAATGAGCATTGTCAAAAAACCGATGCACCGTCTGTAATGGTATTGTAATGCGAGGTGTTTACTGCGCTGGATATGCACTACTTCAAAAACAACTAATGCGTGACTGATGCACTTGTGTTTGGTCTCAAAGGTGTTTTTTTCAATTCTAAGACTGATCTGATCTCTGATGAGATTGAAGAACATATCTGAATAATATGTGACTGTAAGGGCTTGCAGAACATGTGATGAATTCTGGACTCTGTGAACCCTGCCATGCAAACGGCTGCTGTACACCGGGACTATTTGTAAAGGACTTGATATTAATAATTATAAAAGCGCTACACTCTTTTGTTCAAAGCTCAGTGCGTCATTTGTTTTTTGTTTCTGGTGTGTGTAAAGCTGCTGTGTGTAAAAGCGGAACAACATGCGTCTGTGTGAATCGCTCCCACATTCAGTTCAGTGGGACACTTTACTTTACGTATGCATTGCTGTACATATGATCTCAGTGAACCTTAAATAGACTCTATTTTTCTTTCTTTAAAACTTTTGATTTGAACTTTTTGATTTGATTTTGAACTTTTAAACCATTTGATTATGGGGTGAAATGTATGGAAGCTTGTTTCCGCCACAGAATAATAAATAAAAAAAAGGTAATTGCGACTTTTTCTCTCACAATTGCGTGATTATAAAGTCAGAATTGTGAGATTTAAACACAATTGTGAGAAATAAACTCGCAATTCTGACTTTATAACGCACAATTGGGAGATATAAAGTCAATTGCATGATATGAAGCCGCATTTGCGTGTTATAGAGTCAGAATTGTGAGATAAAAAGTCGCAATTATCTTTTAAAATGTTTTATTTTGTGGCGGAAACGAGCTTCCATTGAAATGTGAGCTGGACTTGATCAGGGGAAGTTTACACAACACCTTTTCAACTAAAAACAGAAAACCTTTAGTTTTTTGGCTGTTCATTTACATAATAATGGTGTTTTGAGGGCCTGAAAACGCAAACTTTTGGAAACCCGTTTCAAAGTGCAAGTTTTTTTTTTAATCGTCTCCGTGTAAACTACAAAAATGCAAATCTGTGAAAATGATGCCGTCATGCACATGAGTGTTACGTGGTCAGTCTATAGGTGTGTGTAGTGTTTCTTTACAAAGAACATCGCCATCTACTGGCCTGACGAAAAACGCAAAGAACAAACATTTCCATTTTAATTGCGTCGTTGTCGTGAAAACGAACCCTGGGCTTCACTTGGTCATAGTTTAACTGGAATATGAGAACTTTTTTTACCATTGAAAATGTGTATGCATCAGCTTTAAAGGGACGGTTCAACCAAAAATGAAAATTCTGCCATAATTTATTCACTCATGTTGTTCCAAATCTGTATGACTCTCGTTCTTCTGCAATATATCAACTGGTTTTGTCTTCATTTTGGACCCCATTGACTTTCAATGTATGGGCAAAACACAGACAAATTTTCAAATAACTTTGTTTGTGGTCCACTGAAGAAAGTAAGTCTCACAGATTTGAGGGAACTTTAATTTCTGTGTGAACGATCCCTGTAAGCAAATGAAACACCTGAAACTTAATCAAACATTAGGTCTGACAAGCTGCTGTTTGCACACAAGTCGGACACCGAACACTAGCTTCTAGTTAATATTTAGCAGGGTTTAAATGTGCCATCTGCCATCTGTCGCTCACATATTTTGAAGTGTTTTTTGTGTTATTTCATAGGACAGACAGGACAGGAGTAGCTCAGAGTTAAAGCACTGAAGGGTCGTGAGGACTGAAGTCAGTGATATAGCGTCTCGTGTCTTCCCTTATCTGCAAACATCGGACCGGTGTGCCATCCCTCCAGCTTCATTTGTTGTAGCCAGTGAAGCGAACACAGTAAGTCGATAGCATCCGCCTGAAACCGAGATCTCTGCGGTGGGCCGATATCATTTTTCACATTACAAAAGACACTATGAACAACATCTCATCCGTAGCCAAAGACTCGCTCAGAATAACAACGTCAAAACATGCAAAATCATGAAGAAAAGACTCATCAAACCTGATGTGTGTTTGTTATTGTGTGTGGCATTGAGGTTGGGGAGGGATTTATCGTATGCATGTTGAAGCTCTGCATTTGCATATATATAAATAATTCATAGCATGTGATGTGGAGACCATCTCTGAATAGCTGCGCTTGTACTTCCACATTTTACTGATTAGTGCCGACAAATTAGGTTAGATGTGTGATGAGAAGTGGCCTAGAAAACACACACCAAACAACTAGCACAACTACATAATTATAGGCTGAGAAATAAGCAGGTAGAATGGAAATGTTTAAATTCCTCAATAGCAAATGCACTCGCTGTTTGGTAATATGACAACAGATGACAGCGAAGTAGCAGCGAGTTATTAGATGTGCAGCAGAGACTCGTCTTAAAGGGATAGTGCACTTCAAAATAAATAATCTACAGGTGAAACTGGAAAAATCAGAATATGCTGCAAAAGTTCATTTATTTCAGTAATTCAACTTAAAAGGTGAAACTAATATATTATATAGACTCATTACATGCAAAGTGAGATATTTCAAGCCTTTATTTGTTATAATTGTGATGATTATGGCTTACAGCTTATGAAAACTTTTCACAAAACTTGGGTTTTTATAAGCTGTAAGCCATAATCATCACATTATAACAAATAAAGGCTTGAAATATCTCACTTTGCATGTAATGAGTCTATATAATATATTAGTTTCACCTTTTAAGTTGAATTACTGAAATAAATGAACTTTTGCACCATATTCTGATTTTTCCAGTTTCACCTGTACGACCTCGCGTTGTTTCAAACCTGTATGAGTTTCTTTCCTCACTGTTCAAGATGTTTTGAAGAACGCCAGTTACCAAACTGGACCCATTGACTTCCATAGTAGGAACTGTTTGGTTACTGACATTCTCCAAAACATCTTCCTTTGTGTTCAGCAGAAGAAAGAAACTCATACAGGTTTGAAACAACTTGAGGGCGAGAATTTTCATTTTGAAGTGAACTTTCCCCTTTAAGTAAATTCATTAAGTGTATTTATACTGTTTTCCTTTAATTTTGGGGAAAAGTTGGGTTGTGGGTGTGCGGCGTCAAACATTGCAACTGTTCATTATAAACATTGAGATTTCAGCATCACTGCAGGGGTGTAGGACTGGGTTAATGATCCGGCTGATTCCTAGAAGACTTCTTTGTTGACATTCAAACACTGTCAAAGTTGAGTTGCCATTTTGTTTCCTTGTGCATCATTGATGGGCGGCAGTTTCTGATGGTGGGTTACACTGCTGTTCAAATGTTTGTCTTTTTGGGGTTACGTTTAGGTTTTTTATTTTGTACCATTGGAATTGTACAAAACTTGGTAAAGGTGTTTTGCACTTGCTATGTCATGGACGTGATTTGAACAGGTTAAATGGTCCTAAAAACAAAGTCACACTTGTGCTCCTCGCGGTCAAAACCTGCCGTCAATTTTTTTTGTATATCAATCTCAAATTTGTTTCGATTTATGGCTTTGATTTCAGAGTTAGACATGTTTTTGGAAAATATATATCTCAAATAAAAATTGTAAATAGTATTCAGCAATAATTTGCCAAGTGTCATCTGTAAAAAGATGTCTGTGCTTCAGAAGCATTCACGATTTATGAAACTCAAAAAGTGAATGAATGGATTATAACTACTGCATAAATGTAATTTAGTACCATAAAATCCCCTATAAAATGTTAAATAAAAATAGAATTGAAATATAGTACATTGAAATATAATAAAAAAGGCCATTTTTGACAGTCATGCGAGGAGCACCGATGGGTTAAAAAAGAAATAAATACTTTTATTCTGCAAGGATGCATTAAAATGATCAAAAGTGTGACATTTAACATTTATAATGCTACAAATGATTTCTATTTCAAATAAATGCTGTTCTTTAACATTGACAATCACATAGAAAACAGCTTTTCTATTATTTCACTGTTTCGACTGTGTGTTTGCTGTGATATAATCCACTTTCACTGTATTGACCAATCAGCATCACTCATTTATTTCTCATCTGATAATGTAAATGCTTTCTTTTAAATTAAAGCTAAAAAACTGCTTGGTAAAATCAACAAGTTTCATGCAAACATGTTCACGTTTACATCTGTGGGCGACACAACTGCAAAAACGCCTTTTTCTTCCAGTGTTTTTGCAGTCGAAGGGTTGAAGTGTTTCTGGTCACTGAGGTTTGGAAATATTAAAGTATTACTGGAGTTAATAAGCCAGTGACACAAAGCCTTTGACTTTCTGCACTCGGGATGACACAACCTATTTTAATGTAGAAAGTCAAAGAAGTACAGGAGCGCTAATTCACTCAAACTGAGCGAGGCTTCATGTAATGGAGTAGTTTGTTAAATCTGACTCTGAACACGAGGCGAGACTCGGACTTTAATACGCTACTATTTTCAGACACAGTTTCTTAAAAGAATTAAAACATCAATTTGTTAATGGGATTATGTTGTCATCGGTCAGAGTTTAAAGCAACCGACGGCTGAAAGAAACAGTGTTTCTCTTTCTCCTCACATTGTCAGACCTATATGTTATATTTCCCACTATATTAATAATAAGCATCAGACTGTATTGCAGCAGAAAAAGAGGCTCGCAAATCAATGGATGAGATTCATCAGCAACAGTGACCCAATTTACCAGGAATGAAGATTCATTTATAAAGCTCAAATCTGAGGTCTAATAAATTGTTTGCATTGTGAATGCTTTAGTTTAACATAATCTTAGAATAGAGTATTAATGGCATTTAAAGTAAAAGGTTGAACTCGAATGACACTCCCAAATCACTGCTATGTCTGGAATGGCATCCGACCCAACTGCTTTTTTCATTTCTTTTGCATGCATATTGTGCTCAACATTTATTTTTTTCATTTCTTTTGCATGCATATTGTGCTCAACAATTATTTTTTTTATTTTTTTTGCATGCATATTGTGCTCAACTTTTATTATTTTTTTATTTTTTTGCATGCATATTGTGCTCAACATTTATTTATTTTATTTTTTTTGCATGCATATTGTGCTCAACTTTTATTTTTTTTATTTTTTTTGCATGCATATTGTGCTCAACATTTTTTATTTATTTTTGCATGCATATTGTGCTCAACATTTTTTATTTATTTTTGCATGCATATTGTGCTCAACATTTTTAATTTATTTTTTCATGCATATTGTTCTCAACAAATTTTTTTTTGCATGCATGCATATTGTGCTCAACATTTTTTTTTTGTTGCATGCATGCATATTGTGCTCAACATTTTTTTTTTGTTGCATGCATGCATATTGTGCTCAACATTTTTTTTTTTTTTTATGCATGCATGCATATTGTGCTTAACTTTTTTTTTTTTTGCATGCATATTGTGCACAAAATTTGTTTTGTTTTTTTGCATTCATGCACAATTAAAAAGTGCCTGGATGACACCACAGTTTTGTGCATTATCCAACATTATCTCCATTTCTGATTTGCCAAATGAACCGAATGTCAACCATAATCTTTCTTGTATCATTATTTGGTGAGACTGTCAAAAGTTGCACCAAAATGCACATGATTAAACATAATAAGGTCATGTGACATTGATCATTGCATGCAGTTTTCCACACACAGGTCTGAGGACAGCCTGAGCTTGACCTTCATCATTTCACCGTTACATTAAATCATGATAATCCCTGTGCAGCTTTGTTAAAATAATATCGAGCTGTTCTATCACATTTGTCCTGATGTAACTCAAGGTACGTCCCGTTTCTCCACACTCGACGCTTGTTCTGTTCACGGTTCCTCCTGAGGAAAACAACCAGGAATCCAAAGTCAAGATCTCAGAATGAACTCACATTTCTCATCGACTTTTGTGTGTCGAATATTTGATTCCGTTTCCATTTCATCGCAGATCTTCTAGGAGAAACAATTGAGACAAGGTTGGTACTTCATTTAGATTTCCATGTAGTATTACTGGATTTTATACTAAAACATTATACCAGTAATTTGTTTTAACTTATTTTGTTACAAAAAATCCATTCACGCACAATGTTTTATTTATTTACTTGATTATTTCAGTAGGGAGAGCTTGAGGGGAAAATATAAGTTTGTATGAAAAAATATAATGGTCCCAAAATCAAGCTTAATTTTTTTAATTAAATGCAAGTTATTTTTATATCATTTCAAGAAGAAACAATTTACAATGTCGGTACTTCATTTAAACATCTAATATCTAATGGTTCATATTGTTTTTTTGTTTTTGTTTTTATTATTACTGGCTTTATACTGAGATGCATTTATTTATTTTAATTATTATAATTAATGCTAAATTTGTGTGGAAAAAAATGTGATGGATGAATGTAATTTCTTTATGCATTTTATTTCAGGTTTTAGGAGAAATTGTTTAGTTGGTACTTTATTTAAACATCTAATGAGTATTATTATTATTTAGTATTACAGACTTCATACTGAAATGTATTTATTTATCATTTATGCATTGCAGAATGGAGAATTTGAGAGGAAAACATGTTAATTTTGTATGTAAAAAATGTAATTTGCAATTTTTTTTAAATGCAAGTTATTTTATTTTATTTCAAGTTGTAGAAGAAACACGTGAGACCAGGTCGGTTCTTCATTTAAACATCACGTCTCTCCTGAGCAACATCTGGCAAACGACAGTGGTTTTCCTCTCTTTACTAGTGTCTCTTAACCTAACCTCTCTCTCTCTCTCTCTCTCTCTCTCTCACGAGGGCTCTTTCTTTCTTTGACGCTGTTGTTCTCATGCCGTTTTCTCTTTCATTCCTCCAGTCTGGAACCCGATAAGCGGCGTGAACAGAAAGAGGAATGCTGTTATATGAGCCCTGTGATATAGGCTTCACATGCATGCTTTATGTGCGCTTCTCCCGGGACCACCCCTCAACACAGGGGCATTGTGGGACAGAAGTGCAAAGGACACAGACACAATAGATTTGTTAGTCTCAGGTTTAGTTT